ATTAAGATTTACGCGGTATGATTTTGAACAACTAAAATTAACTAACTAAAAAATCTTCAAAAAGCAGTATCAATTACCCAGACGCATATCTCAGACTCAGTAACATTCCAGATATTGAGAGTGAAACTCACAATCTCAACACTAAGATCACAGAAACAAAGTTTTTACAAAACTGAAACAGAAATCAACTTCTGTGTGGAGTACATAAGCAATAAATTAAGAGAAAAATAGAAGTGCCAAACATTAAGGATGCATCTGTGACACTATAATAAAAATAATGAATCAGAAAATATGAAAGCTTTCATACGTAGCAGCAGAATACCATTCAGATGGATGAGACTCACGGTAAGATAATGTAAACTTCGAGCTCAACTGAATTTAGAAACTACCAAGAATTTTGAGTACTCAAAATTATCCAAGCACTGAACCTTTAATCACTTCAAATGAAACTGCTTACTTTGAAAAAGACATAACTCTGCAAATCTCACCAGTGACTCTGAAATAGGAAAAGAAGTCAACGAATTCATTGATAACCTGCCACAAAGAAAATAACTGATCATATCTTACCCTCATCCCCAGAAATTAATCAAAAACCTCAAGATCCAAAAAATTCAAAAAAATTTTTTCAAACATTCAAGATTCAAAAATCAAAAGGATTCGTGTAATGTACTTAAAGAGCTGCCCTGAAAGCAAAGTGTACTAAAACTAAATATACCTGTCTTAAAGTTAAATTACTTTTTATAGCCAGTAGAAATATTCAATAGTAATAGCATTTCTGAAACAAACAAACAAATAATATCCAAAAGCAACAAAAGTATCAGCCAGTCAGCTTACTATCCAGCTTAGGAAAAATATTTGGATGAATTCTACAGATCTAATTAACTAATGATATAGAAAAGGACAACTTGATCAACTCAAGCCAATATGAGTTTTTTAAAGACCTTACTACAGTACACAAACTAGACTGAGACAGAATACTCGACGTAGGCCTTTGTGAAGAAGACCGAAGTAGTCAGATGCTTTCTTTATTTAGAAAACGCATTTGATAAAATTTGAGACTCTGATATACTACTAAATTACAAAATGTGCATTAAATTCTATGTTCACATCTGAAAAAAAAAAAAAAAAAAAAAAAAAAAACATTCTAAATTATTATATTTGCAATATTCTTTCCAAGAGGAAGCTATTTAAAGCTGTTGTACACCAACGCTCAGTCCTGGGACCCACTTCCTTCAATATTTACATAAGATAAATGATCTTCCAGAACCATTAAATGCCAACTTGTCAAAAATGAAGATGTCAAAGTAATTCTCATAAATTTCTTAAAACCACAGTATATAGGATATCCCTAATTTCACATGTCTGGTCAAAGAACTGTTTCTGGGGATTTTTTTTTTTTCTTACCTTTGTTCAGGTTCATTTTTGCATCATGAATTTTTTTCATGGGCTTCTGACCAAAATTCAGACTTTAGAAATAAAAAGTTCGATGTAGTAACATACTAAATGGAAATATGTTTGATTTCTGATACTAAATGGGAATATGTTTGATTCATTGATTTGTTTTACCAGGTCTCTTAATGTGGAAATTTCACAGCACTCAGAGAAATGGTAAAACAAATCAATGAAGATACACTGAACTTGAGTACTGATCTGAGTAACTCCAATCAGTATTGCTAGCGAGGATTTTCCACCACTAAGGGCAATGCCACAAACCAAGCTAGCTTAAAGAGAGTCAGCAATCCGTAAATCTCAGAAGACATTTCCACTGTGAATTCATTTGCAGTTACCAGTATTATGGTAAACCGTATTGTACTGTACCGTTACCAGTATTATGGTATTATGGTAAACTGTATTATAAGTACTTCTTATTAACACTGCACTTGCCATTAAGAAATGGATTCGTGAAGTTTGTTGAAGATTTTAATGGATATGTGAAACCTTCAATGTAATGCTTGATGATTTTACAGATTCCTTGGTAAGGAGTCTGTTTTTACAGTAGTTCCTTCTTCAGTTGCGAATACACTTAATTGAACACTCTAGTGTTATTACCATCACTGGTTTGGATTTTCAGTTACTGCAGTACCTACCAAATATTAAAATCACTTTTGTTCCAAACATAATTGAATTTAATAGATGGCCATTTGTGCATTGCAAACCATGATACAGGTTTCAAACTTTTCAAATAAAATAATAACTAACAACAAGTTCTTTAATTAATATTAAAATAAGAATTAAAAATTAATTCTAAAACTAAACTATTTATGTAATTTTGAAATTTTTTACAAAGATATTTTTATAATTACGTTCTTGATGAAATTTTATCTCTTACAAACAACTATTCTGTGCTCATTTCATATTATTCAACAGCAGTTTTTCAATCATAGAACTTTTGATAGCCTTTTTGATCAGCACCTTTTCGTTCAAGAATTTTTCTTAGAATTTGAAGTGCCTTTCCAGATTCTATTGAGATCATTTTCGCTGTCAATTTCTGTAGCTTTTTTTAACACTTTCTTGGTCAATTTTTATACACCTTGTCTCAATACCATTCTGAATTGACATATGAATAAAAATAAATCTTCATGACTTTCCTCTGTCGTCTGAAATATTATTTATAGTTTGCAATTCCTACATAATTTCTACATAAAAGCCACATTTTCGAAAACCGTTTTAACTGATTTTAAGGGATTAACCCTTTGCATTGACTATAATATGCAAAACCTCTAGCAGAGACATGAACTTAGCTATATCCTTTGAAGTGTTTGCATTTTCACAAAATTCATTTCTGTTCATGATTTACTGAATATCTTTTCCATATTGATATTTGAAAACTTTTGCAATATGCTAAAATTAAAGGTTGACTGTTAGCAGTTGTATTTGCAGGAAGAGAAACTTATATTTTCAGGAACGAATTATAGGTACACTGCGCCCAAAAAAAGGGGGTGGGACAGTTCTATACCTCTTGTTCTACTGAGCCGATTGACGAAATTCAAATTGCGTTTTTCATGTCTCAAAAGAGTGACTTAGAATATTTATTAGATTTACATATAACATTGTTCTAATATAGGTGTTTTGACACAAAATCAGACTTTTTCTGAAATGACATGTCAATTTTCCATATTTTGATTCTACGACTCAAATTATGCCTAGATATTAAATTTTGTAATTTTTGGTGAGAAATTTAAAAATTTATCTTGGTGCATTTTTTTCAGTTTGCGCCAAGAATAATTCACTTAGCGAACTTCTTAATTAATAGCAATCAATTTTCTTTTCCTTTTCTTTTCATTGTAGACAAACGGGGGAAAAATTCGTTCTTTCAAATAAGTTTAATAAAGTGTGTAAACCACGTTTGGTGTTATTATAGCTTATGACAAATATGCCAAATTTCAAAACGTGCCAATATGTAAATTCACGTATATCTTAGGAAATTTTGGATAAAAAATTCTAATTTTTTGCAGGTATGCTTAGAAATACATCTACTTTAAGATGATGGTAAAACTTTTATAGGTAATAATTCAAAATTTTATTCGAAAAATTTATAAATATTATTTATAAATACAAATTTTAAAAAATAAATCATAAAAAATGGGCGAATTTTATTTGGAATGAACCTAAATTTCAAAATGTAAAGAAGAACCAAATAAGTTTAATGAGAAAAGTGATAAATATATAACAAGTTCAATTAACATGGAGGAGTTAAAAATTTTGAGAGCTAATTTTTTAAAAACTACTCGTGTTATCTTTACAAAACGTAGTAGTTTGGCATAATTTGAGTCGTAGAATCGAAATATGGAAGAAAATTGGTATGTTATTTCAGAAACAGTCCGATTTTGTGTCAGAATACCTATATTAGAACAAAGCTTTATATAACTCTAATACATAATTTAAGTCACGCTTTTGAGACATAAACACAAGTTGAATTTCGTCAATCGGCCCAATAGAACGGGAGATACAAAACTGTCACCCCCCCCCACAGTGTACATGTGCTGCAGAGTTGTAAGTAAAACTATATTTTAATCTTTCAGTTTGCTGTCCCACTCAAAAGAAAACCAGTAGAAACACTACTTTTCATCAATCAGTTCTTGTTGCTATGGTAAGCTAGAAGTAAATTCTTGACTCCTTTGAAACATCAAGGTTTTCTGCTTTTGTTAATAACCAGTGCTGTTTTTTAATTGTTGGATCCATACTGTATGTTCTGTAACAAAGTACAGTTTCATCTGCAATGTAAATTTTATATATTTATTTAGCAGCTCAAGTAAAACTTTTTTTTTATCCAGTTATCAAGTGCATAATGATCTACTTCTTCCTTCTGACATGAATTTGAATTAATAATGCTGCATTTTTCTTTCTCCAATTTATAGCCATATGTCAGTTGATATCATATTCTTTCCTAGCAGTTCGCGAATAAGTCAGAAAAGCTTTAGAAATAGAAACATTTTTCAGCTTTATATTTATAGCTAGAAATCACTCCAGAAAAGCAATTTCAAAACTTCCCAATTTTTGTCTTTTCTGCACTTCTTGAGAAATTTACATGTCTTCTTAATTTTTCATCAATTATAAATCCTTGTTTAAGCAAACTGCACAATGCTGTTTGTAAAATCCAAAGTTTAAATCTAGCTTTTCTTTGGTTGCAATTACAAACAGCACTAAAATATTTAACAATTGTATCATTTTCTTTCAGACTTAAATCTTTTTGCTTGATATTTTGATATGTAACAAGTTAAACACACAAAAATTTTTTAAATGCTTCTTCTACTAATTTATTCAAATTTCAAAATTTACATTCCTAGTCAGCAGAGAAGCCACTTTATTACAAGCAAAATGCTTTCTGTATGCTATTATTATTGATTACAAGCAAAATGTTTTCTCTGCTTTTCTTCCAGTCAACAGTTACCACTTCATTTCTAGTCAAAGATTGTATGGCAATGCTTGGAAACATTTCATAAACTTTTTAAACTTAGAATTATTTTAAAGTTAGAAGTTAAAATTCAAATAGAAAAACATTCCAGTGAATTAATTTTATTGATACAAAAATATTTTATTACTTTACAAAAAGTTTGGCATACCAGATTATCTCATGAAAATTTAAATATAGTTTAAATACATAATGAAAATTATGCATGTTTATATATGTATGTACTTACATGTCACAAAATGCACCATATATAAAAATGTCAAATAACATATTTGCTCTCAGCACATCTATGCTTCAGTTTCCCTTCGTAGACCTACTATATCACATGCAATATGGGAATGAAGTATCACTGATGGCCGACAATGTCGAATTTGATAAACATGGAATGTCTTAAAAGAAGCTTTAAGATAGCATAAATGATACCAAAATGTCAAGGAAACTACTTAATGGAATATCTGAAGCATTAAAGTTTGTTACTATAGGCATTATTTTTACTTCATTATAATTTGTAAAACACACAAGATTTAGACATATTTTACATAGTCAAAACACTCCAATGTTTTACATATATAGTATGGATATAGTATAGGATATAATATGCACCGATCTTTTGAATTTTTTGAGTTTTCTGCCATGTTAATGCACAGAAAAGAACAAAATGTATAAATATAATCATTATTAGCAATTGTTTCGAATTGCCTTTGCCTTGTTTCAAATTTTTAATTGCATAAATCAGATTTTTTATGTATGAAAAGAATTAAATCATATATATATATACATAAAAGAATCCAAATATTTCAACAAAAAGACCATGAGCACATAATGACATTCAGCACTCCAAGGTCACAGACCTACAAGAGAATCTCCTTAACAAGAATGAAAAGGTTAAAAGCAACAATTAACAGCATGAATAGCAAATAATAAAACAATACTAGATTCTAGACAATAAAATATAATCAAAATAGAAACAAAAAAATCTTTGATGTGATATTAATAACATTACTAAAAATATGCTCAACTATTCATCAATTTATATGGTAAATAATCCCATGGTGGTCCTTACTTTTCAATGTATGGACAAAAGACTAGAAATATACTTCAACCTAAAACATTCTAATGCCTTTATTCTACTAAAGCATTAACTGAAAATAGATTCACATAACTGCAAGCAAAATACATGATAAAATGACATTATTTCACAACACTCAGAACTGTTACTTTAATTGCTCAATTCTGCTGCTGCAAAATACAATATTATGTACATTAATTTATACACATCTGCAGAAATCTGAATTTAATGCTTTCATTATTATATTAATATGCAAAAAAATAGTATATAAATAACTGCAGAATTTATAAATCCATAAAAACTTTTCCTTCTTAGGATGTAACAAGTTTTATTATCCATTGGATTAAACTTACCACATCCTGAAAATTACAAGATTTGAAGTGACTTTTGCACGATGACCCTTTGCTAATACATGTAGGCTTCCTACAACACGTTTTCGCTCCAAAGCGGTTAGAAAAATGTGGAAAGTTTCTTACAGCATGGTACTTTAACAATGTAGTTTAGGTAATGTGTGGCAGCTCCCCTTAGTCTTCAGTTGGATAAACCTTTAACCGACATAGCGCATCAGCACACAAAGCAGAAACTTACCCCTAGACAGGAATTCTAGGAACTGCCACGGACACACATTCATTCTCTTTGTTCCATTGTGCATCATCTTTGCATGACAGCTATGGCTTGCTTGCTTTCTAGTATTGTAATCTTATGTAGGCATTCTGAGCATGGATAAAGTAATTTACTGTAAAGAGTACAAAAAGTCTTGCTTGGATTGTATGCACCCAACTGCCCGTGGTTGTTTGATTCCTCAAATTCATCACACATTTGCTGGATTCTTGCCATAACCCAGTGTATTTAACAATTGTTTTACGAGGTGAAGCTGCAGTTGAATCTAATAGTTAAATTCTAGGGTAAATAACCTCCATGTTTATCACTTCAAAAGTAAAAATAAAAATTTAAATTATTAAGAATTTTATTTATTGTTTAAAAATCTTTCAGCACAGCAGTTGCTTTCTTTTCATCCCAGTCAGGGAATGAATGAGTGCTTAATTGCTTTTCTCAGTGAGTGGGGTGAAGTTGGGGTTGCTATTTGCAGTTTTGCCAAGAAAGAGGATGGCCTCCTATTGGTCATCGAATGATTGATGTGATAGTAACACATTTTAAAATAAAGAGCTAGATACAATATAATCTACTGCTTCACATATTTTTTTTTTCTTTACATTCTCTTTGCTCAATAATATTTACATTTCATATTGTAATTTTTACAACACGACTTCTTAGAATGGTAGAACTATACTCTATGGTGGATGCAAACACTTTCTACTATATTCAGTGTTCTCAACTTAGGTTGACTGCTAGTATAGTGCACATTAACATAACTGCTCAGTGACACAGAGCACAGGAAAAGAAAAGTCTTTCTCGTGTCCTCTGTTGAGCGTTTGCTTTTTGTATTGGAGTTCCCCATTTTAATGCAAAAAAGTAGGTGAAAATGCTTTTAATAGTTTTACTTACTTTAGTGCTGGGACAGCTATAAACAAGTGCTTTATATTTTTTAACAACACAGTGAAGGTACGTGATTTTTACTGCCCATAAAACTGAATGAAAAAAAATCTTAGCCCTAACAATAGAATGAAAAGACTGTCATTAAAAAGGAAATTTATATCTCTTTCAAACAAAGATAGAAATTTTCGATTGAATTAAAAATCAAGAGCAGATAGCTGATATTGGTAGGCATTTTAATTTAATTGAGTCAACTACTCGGTCGAATAAGCAATTGGAAGAAAAGATTAGGAATTTAGTCACATCCAGATTATTTATGCTCATGAAAAATGTTCTTCTGAGAGCACCTATAAGGGAAAAAATGGAAGAAGTGCTAATATTACGGGTAGAAGATATGAATAAGAAATGGTTGCTTTTAAATAAAAGTGCACTTAAACAAAAAGATTTGACCCTTAATATTTGATTATTTAAAACATATGGGACAGTCATTAGCTGATGAAAACAGTGTTAAATTAATGGCTAGCAATGGTTGGTTTGAAAAATTCAAAACAATACCCCATTCACTGCACAACATACACCTACAAGGGGAAAAGGCCTCTGCAGATGAGGAGGCAGCAAAAAAATATCTAGCAGAACTAATAGCTATTATTTGAACAAAGGGGTATTTGGCTGACCAAATGCTTAATGCTGATGAAACAGAATTATCATGGGGAAAATGCTTAACAGGACCTATATCTCAAAGAATGGGGAAAAAAAAAAAAAAAAAAAAAAGTTGCATAACTCTATTTCTATGCAGTAACGCATCTGGTGATTTAATTACCAAGCCAATGCTCATTCATCAAGCACTAAATCCATGCTCAATTAAACAGTGCAATAAAAACAAACTTCCTGTGTATTAGATAGCCAACAAAAAGGCATGGGTGACTGGCCATTTATTTAAAGATTGATTCCATAACTGTTTTGGTCTGGATGTAGAAAAATATTTCAAAAAGAAGGACTTAGCATTCAGAGTCCTACTAATCTCAGATAATGTACCCTTGCGTCCAACTGATTTAAATCACCCCAACGTTGAGGCTGCATTTTTACCATGCAACACCCCTCCGCTACTGCAACCCTTGAATCAAGGAATGATTGTGACTTTTAAATCATTTGAATTAATTTTGGAGAAAATAGAGTCTACAGATATTGTAGTCAGTGAAGCTTGGAGACAATTTTCAATTTTATAGAAATTATTGGCTCGGTCCTAAAAGAAATATGCCAGTCATCTCTAAATGCTTCCTGGAAATCTTTATTACCAGAAACAGTCAGTCAAGAAAATATTGTTGAGCCAATTCAGCATGAGTATAATAATTATAGTAAGTTTTGCACATGAAATGAAAGGTGATGGATTCACTGAAACTGTTTTCAATGAAGAAACCAAAAAGTTCACTCTGAAAGATATAGAAAAATGTTTAAATGTGGCAAAATAGATGGAATCTGATTTTTTAGAGAACAATCCACTGCCAGAGAAAGAGCAGAAATATTTAAAAGAAATCTTCAAAACTGCTTATCTGCCTATCAAGATATTTATAAAGATTTGCAAAGCAAGAGCAAACAATCTCTAACGACATTTTTTTTTTAAACCTAAGCCTACTGGAAGTGCAGTGGAACTTGATGATGAAATAAGCTGAGATCTTGAAAGAAAGCCAGTCAAATGTTCTCGAACAACTAATAATAAGTGATGATGAGGAATAAATTTGTGAGTCTAACATTATTTTGCTTTTTGATTTTGACTTGAAATCATAATCTTTTTGTTTTTATATGATGTTAAATTTTATTTAAGTTTTTTATGAAAAGTTTTATGCACATAAATTTTAAAAACAATGAAAAAATTACACCATAAAAGGCAGTTTTTCTCTTTTTAGAGCCAAATCCCACTTTTTGTATTAAGTAGGTATCTCCTACAATGCTATTTCCCACAACGCAGTATTTTTAAGCAGCGCTCCTACCACACTGCAGGAGGCCTACCTGTATTATAATTTCTAAACTGACTTAGACACAATGATTCTTTACTGTACTGTATTTACACACCAATAAAAAAAAAGTAAGTTTTTGTCTCTTTTCTTACAAATTATAAAATTCATAAAATATAATAAAAACGTAATTTGGTATTAAAGTATAAAATCACAATCAGCACATATTTCTGAAAATAAGCTTATCATCCATGAATGAGCCAAGAGGCAAGATTGTGCTACAAAAATTTAGCAGAAACTGAAAACCTGTTCAAAAGCAAAATTCAGCTATATGTATGACTAACTCGCTTTCTAAGTTAGCTGGATCTATCAGACAAGCTGAAGGTAAAGTGCCAATTTACCTCCATCATCCAACTGAGAAACAGAGGTAAGAAAATTGTACAAAGAAAAGGACAATTTAAGGATAAATAATTCATCTCAAGTTTATCGATATTTGGACATGCACAACATTTAGCAGTAGCAGGTGAATTGTACTTTGGCAGTGGCAACCATTTTCAAGTAGTCACTAGATATTTCCTGCAAGAAGTAAAAAATGATTCTTTATTTCTGCTATATGACGAAAAGAAAAAAGTTTACTGAAGGAAAAAAAAAAAAAAAAAAAAAAGACTACCAGTTTTGCTAATTATAAACTAAAAGTATTCACTTGTTCTGAGCAATGCTATGGACAGAAGTGAAGATACTATTATCTATTAAGCACACAACAACGATGTAAACGCATTGACTGGCCACAAGTAAACTCGTGTCGTCATGGCAAAATGTTGTTGACCAGTCATGAGTAAATTCATGATTGATATGCCTTTGTTTCACTTCAGCTTCGTTCAGTCAGTGCCTTTTTGGATGGAGTGTAATTGTTATTCAGCAGACCTCAAGTTTCTCTAGCTAATTAAAAAACACCTGTCAAGTTGTATACCCTTTCTATTAAAAAGAAATTTAAACCCTGACACATAACATACCGATGAAGAATCCTTCAACGAATTACACACAGCTGATTTATCTCAGGGTTTGTTAAACTTTTTCGAGTCGCAATCCCCTTTTATCACTGAGATTTTTTTTGCGATCCCCAGAACCCCATAATTATTACAAAAATTTTGTGGGACCCCATAAGTATTGCGCAAATCCGACACACACGTGAATGATTGTCACGTGTGTGTCGGATGAAACTGTCAATTTTTTCACTTGTACTGTAATATATTATTGCAGTTTTACGTCATTAACTTTAATTTCTAATTTTAAGACATAGAAAATGTAAAAATTTTAAATAAGTAACAGATGAAATAACAGCATCACATGCAAAGCAAGGAAAATGAATGTTTATATTATAAAAAGAATGCGTCGAAATGTATTCATTTTTTTTTCTTTGACTATATTGTCTTATCGTTATCTATTTTCAGATGTATTGTGTAAAAATATTTGGTAATTTAAATATTATTATAATAAGTTAAAGAAATATCACAAAACTGCTAAAATTTTTGTTAACCCCTGCTGCAGGTCCCGCAACCCCTTGGGAATTGCAACCCACAGTTTAAGAAACTCTGATTTATCCTGATTGCCTCAGTGATTTTGAAATAAGTGATACTTTATCGGAAGACGGTGATGAGTCTGATATTAGGTAACAAAAATGAAGAAATGTAATAGAATCTCATAGTGACAATGATTTAGAAGAGGAGTGGATTAAGGATAATATAACGTCAACCTTACAGGATTTTTTAAACATCCCTGGTTAACTGTTCAATTTAATGATATGCCAAGTATCAGTAAGGTAATGGCTGTACTTTATTATAGTTTTTTTTTTATTTATTTAATTGTTACACAAACCATTATATACTACTCTCAACTGAAAGAATTCCATTAAAACTCTGTGAAACTCTTACTATGGACAAATGTTACCACTGATGAAATTAAACAAGTTTTTTTTTTTTTTTTCTTTCTTTCTTTTTCTTTTCTTTTTTTTTTTTTTTTTTTAATTACTGGTATTGATGGACAAACCAAGAAATCACACTGGAGAGATTATTGGTCAATGGGCTCTTTGGTTGAAACACCAATATTTCGTAAAACTATATCCAGAATGAGATTTGACCAAATTTTTACTTTTTCCATCTGAATGAAAATATGTATATACATCCACTAGGCAAAGACTTTGCAAAATTAGACTGCTTTTGGATGATATTATTTTAAAATTTCAATTCCTATACATTCCCAAAAAGGAGTTAGCTTTAGACAAAGCAATAGTACTATACAGAGGATGCCTTACCTTCAGAACGTATGATACGGCAAAAATAATTAAAATACAGAATTTTAGTTAGAATGCTTTGTGAAAGTGAAATTAGATACATATGCAACTTGAAAGTCTATTCAGGACAGTGAAAGAAGCTGCAAAAAATCCTATTGTATGTGTTGGAGCCATATCTTAGTCATTGGCATTATATATATGAAGACAATTATAATAACAGTGCTTCTACAATCCAAATCTTATGAAGAAAGAAAACTCTAGCCTGCCGTACCATACGAGAAACCCATGGCTTACCAAAAGTTCTAATAAAAGAGTCCAAAAGTGTATGCAAAGAAGAAATGACTTTTGTAGAAGGGGACCTATTGCTCTTATTACATGGAAGGATAAAAGACTAGTGCGTATGATAGCAACTATTCATGAAATCAATCCTGAAATCAAGTGGTGAGAAAAAAAGAAATTCTGTGCATGACACGATTAAACCTATAAGTGTATTAGAATATAATAAACACACGAAAGGGGTCAATCACATAGATCAGTATTTGGCGAAGAGTAATATCTTATGAAAAAGTTTAAAATGGTCAAAGAAATAAGCATTCTTTCTCACAAACTCCACTTTGTTCAATGCATTCAAAATTTACTATAACTATCCGTCACAAAATAAACTAAAATTCAAAAAATTTCTATTGGAAATAGCTATGGGATGGATAACTGTACATTCCAATGAATGCAATATACAGGGTGCAGTAGTGAATTGATTAAGCAACAATGCTTGTTTTGGTTTGGCTGGAGTGGGAAGAAAGATTCTACTAAAAACATGTAAAAAAAAAATGTTAAGTATTTTTAGTAACAATGGAGCAGTGGACAGAAGCACAACATGCTTATGCTGTACAGGCATTTTAAAAAACGGCAACAATTACATAATAACTCAGCATGAATTTTGAAAAGAGTTAAGATTCATGGTAATAACGCTATTCCATTAGCCGATGCTATCAAGAAATGGGTATGAAACTGTGACGCCACTGATTTGACAGTAAATAAGAGAGGCAGTAGTGAAAAAAACAGTGTGTTCACCCTAGAACATAGAGGCTGATTTTTTTCTGTGGGGCTACTTGAAATCACATGTGTTTAGTTCTCTAACACCACACATAAAATTCAGGTGTTCAAACATCGAATTAAGGAAGAAATTAAATGAATTCCTACAGATGCTGCAACAGATAATGAGTAATGTTAACAGAAGTCTTTCCGAGTGTGTATGGAGGGATGGTGGGCATCTAAGACTTTTTTTTTTTTTTTTTAAATAGACATTTTAGAATTTTTTTTTTTTTTTTTTTTTTTTCCCCAGCTTGAAAACTAAATGCTTTAGTGTTTACTGAGAGTTCTTGCATATAAGTAAATAAAGCTAATCAGTCCCTCTAGGTAGCACTTTTAAAATTGTTCAATTCACTGCTGTATCCTGTGGTATGTGAGCTTCCTCTAGTATTTACGCAATAGCTACTTACAGTGATCTACACAACAGACTTTCCAGACAGCTAAGAGATCACATTTTAGAAAAAAAGTACTGATTAATAAATGTTATGAATATATAAAATTAAAGTTATATTTTTTCAGTTGTTTAGCCTTCAGTATCATTTTTATGATTAAATGATTTCTAAAATGTTTTCAATTCATACATAAAGTCTATTCCCAAACTTAAGTAGCCAAACATTTGCTAAAAATTCTTGGCTTATACATGGAAGTATACATCAATTATTTACAACAAATAAATAATGCAAAATGACTATGAATGCCATGTAAGAGTAGATGTATATAAAAAATAATGCAAAAGAAATAAATTTCATCATCTGAGTAAAAGAACTAATTATTCAAGACTGTATCAATTTCAAAACTCCACCAACTAAATGCAGACTTCCAGTGACCAGAACCTGTATATGGCTGGCATTATTCAACATTTGAGCAAAAATATCATTCTTGTCATTTATATCACATTCATGTGTAACAACGGAATCAAACCTGTTTAACCAGTTTATTGCACTACTTAAGCAAGAAAATAGTAGCGAATTTTCTGAGTTAAAGGCACTTATTTCGGGCTTCACTTGTGGTGTGGAATTGCCATTGAGAGCTAAATTTAGCTCATTTTCATGCATACTTCTGATCAAGTGATTCCATATTTCTTTATTTGTTATACATTGCTGCATTTCTTTCTCAGGTTCGACCAAAAAATTGCTGAGATCTAAGCATAAAGAAATACAATCATAAGATTAAAAAAATCACTTATTATTGTACATACAAAAATTATCAAAAGCATTCTAATTTATTTAAAATTTTAGAGGTATTTTTACTATGTAAACTAAAATCAAATTTATTCAAAAATTATTTAGCATTACCATACGGAAAGTTATACAAAATTATAATCAAACTACTTTATTTAGTTCCTGAATTTTAATATTTCTTTCATTATTCATTATTACCTTACTATATGAAAATATAATAAAAAATTTTACAAAAGGTAACAAAATAAATAAATTAAAACTTAATATATGTAAAACAGATACAGCTAAAAAAAAGTTCAGTTTTTTTTAATCCAGTTATTGGATATAATCTCATTCATTCCTTCTTTTTTCAACATAAAACACCTTTTTAGCTCAAAAAACTGTTATGAATGAAGTTTACTGTTATGAATAGTACACTTCATATACATACAGTTATGTATGCATATGAAAGTGCAATTAATTGTATAATAACAAATACTTTAAATTTTAAAAAATTTTCAACAGAATTTTTAAATATGTTACTTACTTATATGCTTGGTTACTCTAAACATGATAAAATTTAACATTTTCATTAGCATACTATATCAGTATTAATTATTATTTATGTAATGACATAAATAGGGATTGCACTTATTATTTTGTTTTCATTTAAAATTTTAAAAAGTTTTAAAAAATGCATAGTAATTACCAAAATTTAATTAAGAACATTATAAAACCATTTACCACATTTCATTATTAAAAGTAATAAATAAGAAAGCAGCATTATTTCCAGTAACATGTGGTACAATATACTAATCTGATCTTCAAAAACACAGTTATACTTACATACATTTACATTATTGGCAATTTTGTTTTCAGTTTTTTCACAGATAAGAATTCCTTTTTAAATAGTTTTCCAGAACTACAAAAAAATGCTGCTATTTAACCAATTATAGAAAAGCATACAAGATTATCTGTTTACGGATTCTTTCATGGAAAACTTTATAACATATACCGTGGCTATTCATATTTCATACAAAAATTCCATGCAGCCAGCAAGTTCATTTGAAACATAAGCTCAAGTTGAGTTACTGGTATTCAGAGATCTAAAGTATTCAGTCACAGTGTCTAGAAACTCATTTATGAACTATGGCGGGGGTCAGCAACCTTTCTGGAGTTAAGAGCCATTTTCCCCCCTTAAAGTTGTAATAATTTTTTTTAAAGAGCCAAATGTAAGTGCATACATCAGTAATATTAGAAGAAATAATATAATGGTTATCAGCTATAAAATATGTTTGTGAAAACAAAACATTTTATTTTATGTAGTAATAGAACATACGATTCTATATATTAAAGGAAATGGATAAAATTTTTTAATAACTAATTAAAATAAACCTAACAGCAAAACTTAATTTCAGTAGATTACACAGCTCTGCTTAAAATACAAATTAAATGCAAAAAATTAATAGAAAGACAAATATGTAATATTAGAGAGATTTTTAGGATTGAGTAGAGGCACGAAGTTGTTCCAATTTTGGTGAATATTCAGAAGGTTTCAACTTCATGCAACTTTCGAGGCTTCCATCATTAAGTATACTTCTTATATTCGTTTTCAATAACGTTCATATCTGAAAGTAATTGTTCGCAGTACTAAGTAGATCTGAAATTTGTCAAGATGCCAAATGTACGTTTTCACTTGATCATAAAAATCGGAAAGACAGTTCCATGGTTCAAATATAGTTTCTTCCACCTTTCCACATTTTGTAAAATTCAACCACTGGTATCTGGCAGCAAATTTTTCTGTCTCTCTAGTTAAGCTTTCTATTTCTGACAACAAATTTATGAACTTTTCTGTCCATAGTTTTTTTAATTTTTTAATCTAACAACTGTAACTCAAGTTGAGCTCTATCAGTGGTTGGGAATGGTGTAAAATTCAACTCGCAAACTTTTGCCACTAGTAGCTTTGTTAAAAATGATAGAGTAGACTTTTCAGATCTAAAATCTTTATTAAATTCTCCTGCATTTTTAGCTGTGACAAAAAAATATACTGTTAATATTACAACCTGAATTGTTTCTGTAATCTCTTTAAGTTTCAATAAAAATTTTGAAGCCTCTCATCATTACTTACACTGGTGTACAAAAATTAAGGACGAAGTCGAAAAATTAGCATATCAGCTGAACGAAGAGGCAGAGCAGACAGAAAGATTAATCAGGAGATTAAGTAAGGTGATGTACAGTAGCACATGCGCAGATATGCAGGTAGACGTAATGGGGGAGTGTCTGAGTAGTATAAAGCATGTTGTCGGTGTAAGATCAGTATTTCTGGCAAAGAGATTGCACACCGTATAGCAGTTAAAATCACACCGAGTTGCTGCCTCAGCGAGAAATGGCGAATAATCAATCTGTTTGACGACATCTGGATGCTTTTACCCGAGGTCGAATCATTGGGAAGTTGGAGGAAGGCCGCAGTGTGACAAGTGTGGCTGCAGAGTTCGGAATTGCTCACAGCATCGTTTCACGACTTTGGAGACAATTTCAAACCACAGGAACAGCTATCCGGGGGTTTAGTAGTGGTCGTCCACGAGGAACCACACCCGCAGATGACCGATATATTACCTTACAGGCCAGAAGAAACAGGTGGCAGACAGTGGGAGAAATCGCTAGACATACGACACAGGCGACTGGATGACCGATATCGCGTTTTACCGTGGCCAGAAAACTGCACGGTGGTGGTCTGTTTGCACAACGCCCTGTACGGTGTGTACCTCTAATGCCTGCCCATCGGCGTTCTCTGTGGTGCCGGGAACACCGGAATTGGAGAGACAATGAATAGGGATGAGTACTCTTTACAGATGAGAGCAGATTCAGTCTGAGTAGCGATTCTCATCGCATACTCATCTGGAGAGAGCGGGAAAGCCGCAATCATCCCTTGAACATCATTGAAAGGGACAGGTATGGAGGTGGCGGTGTTCTCGTTTGGGGAGGCATCATGCTTGGTAGTCGTACAGACCTTCACAACTTCGACGCAGGTTCAGTCAATGGGACCCGTTATTGTAACGAGATTCTTCTTCCATATGTGCATCTTTTTAGAGGTGCTATGGGTCCGCAGTTCCTTTTCATGGACGACAATGCACAATGTCATCGCACAGTAGCTGCCGAACAGCTCTTAGAGAGTGAGGACATTGAACATATGGATTGGCCGGCACGATCTCCGTATCTCAATCCCATCGAGCATGTATGGGATTTTCTAGGCAGATGCTTGGCAGCTCATACCTTACCACCAGTAACGATTTCGGAGCTTCGATTGGCGCTGCAAGACGAATGGGCAGCAATGCCTCAACAACTCATTGACACCCTCATTCTCAGCATGGGCAGACGCTGTGAAACCTGCCTAGCAGTCAGAGAAGATCATATCCCCTATTAAAGACCAGATGTTTCTTGCTGGACACCCATCACAGGGATGTTTCGGCATTCAGTCGCATTGCGCTCCATGCTACTTTTTTAATAAAGCTTCTTTTTATCCTTCTGATTTCTCTTTTAGTAAGTGTTGCTTACATTACTCATGTCCTTACGTATTGGGGATCTTACTATATTAAATGTGTTGATTTGGAAAGCTTTTGTACAAAGTTATATTGAAAAAACCATCTCGTCCTTAATTTTTGCACATCAGTGTAATTCAGGATACTCAATTTCTTTTTTAAGTAGGAATGTCTTGATGTGTTTTAGGCACAAAGTGAAACCCTATGAAGTGCACTTTGTCATGCAAAAGATCAGAATATTGGCTATTTGCTTCCTCTAATAACCCAGAAAACTGTCTGTGAAGAGGTCCTTTTGCCATTATATGGTTTCCTGTCTTAGTGGTTAAATCGATCTTATTTCTTATAGAAATGTCTGTGCACAAAGTGCTTGTTGATGAATCATGCAGTAAAACAAAAGCACATCATGATCTACCTTTTTTTTTTTTATTAGAGAAAGAAAACTTATTTTACCCACCATACTTGCTACTCTGTCAGTAGTAACAGAAACGAATTTATTTATGTCAATTTCATTTGTCATCGTGTTTTCCAAAATAGCAGCACATATATAACTTCACCATCAGTTTGATCCTTAAGGGGCAGTAGAGCTAGTTATTCTTTACAAAGACATTTCAGATACATACTGCACTACTAGTGTAACTTAGCTACATATTTTACATCACATGACTCATCACACAGAATAGAAAATGCAAATGATACTTTCAAGTCTTCAATTTGTTGACTTATCATATTTTTCACCATTTGGACAGTTCTCTTGTGAATGGTCTTTACTGACAATGGAGTATCATTAATTTTATTCATGATGTCATTCTTATTTTTAAAATCTTGAAAAAGGTGATCAGCACTAGTTAAAAAGCATTTTTTAATATATTTTCCATCAACAAAAGGTTTTCCATACTTGGCTATATCTGAGCAACAGCAAAACTGGCTGCGGTAATATTAATAGTGTGCATCCAGCCGCTAGATAATGGTGTTGATTTTTGCTTCTGCAATACAATTCTATCACTGCTATCTTTCTTTTACCTCCGAGGGGATACTGGCAAAAGACCCATGTTTTGTTAAAAAATTATGCTCGATATTAGACTTTTTACTATTTGACAATTTTTCATTGCAGATTAGGCATGTTGAAAGGCCCAAAGTAATTACTATAAATGTCTAGTTTTCTCGTTCATTCCCTTTTAAATTGAACTGTGTCCATCTGAATTTTATGCTGCTTTTTCTATGTTGCCATGGTAAAAAATATAACTGTCTTGAGTGTGAGTGAAAAAAAAGAGCATTTTTAGTCATTCATATATTAGTACTATGAACAAGGCTAATTGTGTTTTTAAAACTATTTTGCATTATTTTATTACAAATTAAAATTTGCTACTTACCAATCATTTATGTTTCTTTAACGTTAAAAAAACAAAAAAATAGCCTTTTTGGTGATGTGTTACTCAATAACACGTTACAATTTCTAACCTACATTTCTGGTACTTATAGCTCTGGTCATATAGAAAAATTTAACTCACGATTACTGCAGTAATAGCAGCTCAAATCTAGCTGCCAATCTGCAATATGCCAGTTTCTATGAAGCAAAGCCCTCAGTTCCAAATAACGTGTCGGTGAAAGTGGGAAACAAGGTTAGCTAAAGGTAGGTTTACATGCATGCGATCTGCCGCACATTCCGACATGTGCACAGGATTATTAAAATTTGTTTGGCAGTATTGCAGCTAATTTTTCAATACTATTAAACTGCTTAAGAGCCACAAGTATGATCTTACTGAATCACAGGTTGCTGACCCTCAACTATAGTAACATTTCTCGCATTTCTCTCACTTTTATTTTTCTTTGAGTCTGCACACAGAAAACTAATTTAAGTTTTTAATTTAACTAAACTAATAAATAAAAGAGCATAAAAAATCATAACAGCTACCAAAGTATAGCTTATTATTTGTGCAACAGATTTCTCTTTCGTACACATATACTTGGCAAGTACATTAGTTTTGGAATTCAATAATTATACTTTGAAGTTACATATATAAATATAAACACATATATATGATCAACAATAATCACATGTAGTGCATTTTTAGCATGCAGTAACAAAGAATATTTATATATACCTGAAGAAGAATCTTTCGTGACAGTGAGCCTGTTTGGACTAAATATAACTAAATCAAAATGTGCATCAGCCAATGGATCCAAAAGGCTTTCAGCTTTTCTTTCACCTGTACAATTAAAAAGAAGTATTCGCAACACAGGTGGTCTGCAAAAAACAAACAAAATTGCCCTGTGAACTTATTTAATCATTTCAGCTGCAAACATGCATCAGAAAATTGAGAAAATTAAATTTTTAGAAATACCATAGTACATGCATAAACAGTTATTCATATTATTCATATTACATACTTTTAAATGTTTAAATAGTATCATGTATTTTCACAGCTTTTTCTTTGCAACTTGAAAGTTGTTAAAATTTGAAACTATTAGTCTTAATTGATGCAATAATCATCAGAAACAGACGATAAACTAACACTTAATGAAAACAGAAAAAATCAGTAGTTAAATTTCCAGTTTTAGATGCAACTGCTCTAAGATGTACAAGAATTCATAAATAAGAGCAAAACAGAATTAATCAACAGGGTTGCCACTCAAACAGGAGAATGAAATTCCCTGACTTTTCCAGGTTTTCCAGGTGTGTTTCAAGAAAATTCCAGTCTATCCGCGTAATGTACGTTGGCTGTGCTAAGAGGTAAATTAATTATGGTATTACTTGTATTGTGTAGCAAACTCACTTAATTATTCAATAAATCCCAGAGGACATTTATTCTTAATTATTCTTGGTATACTTTGTTTGATAATTTTGTTTAGTTTTCCACTTAAGAAACTTAATAAAATTTAAGATATATATATTGGATAACAAATATATGTTTTATTTAATTATTACTCATGATCATCACCAGTTCAACACGAGGCTAATCCGGTCCTTATAAATCACAACGCAATGCTAAATAGTTAGGTTAGATTTTAGGTAAATTTAATTTGCGTGAGGTATGTTCTTAAAACCTTAACACTTGAAAACACAAATATAATTATAATAGTTGTTGTTTTCTCCACTGAAGATTGAGATTAGAATCTTCCCAATCTGGAATAAAATAAGGCTTTTTTTGCAGACATTCTGCAGCTAAACGAAAGAAAGAAATCTATTTTAATAAATTGAGGTATTTTATATTTATTTTGCAGCATACATAAGGAAAAAATATGTGCATTAAATTTCGTGATGGTATGTCATCATACTGCTATAATTAATTTCAGGATTATGCCAGAGAAAATTTCCTGAAATTTGGAAATATTATTTACTAATAATAAATAAATTTAGAGGGAAGAAGCAACATTAAATTATATGAATAACATAAAAATAATTACTTAAAAATTGAATTAGAATAATCAACGATATTTTAGCGAATATAGTTATATTACATGGCTAGCCTAGATGACTGATTACTATTTTTTTTTTACTGCAAAATGGCAAGGTATTTATTAAAAAGAAAAAAAAAAAAAAGGGTTTAAAAAGATTTTGCGGTAAAATTCTAGTATACGGTAAGGCTTTGGCACGATTTTGAAAATTGTCGCCAAGACCAAAATGACCCGTTTACTGCGCATCAAGATGTCGCCAAATCCCATTATTATTCTAACCAAAGAACGTCTATGTAAAGAAGAAAAGGTTCAAAAGGTTCCATACAAGTAAAATGCTATTACGCCGCTAGAATGCGGAGGGAAAATTTGCCAAGGGATTTGGCGACGGAACCTGGCGGCCAGAATTTCCCTCTCCGCGATGTGTACAGGAAATTGAGAAACACGTGTTAAGAAGAAACGCTCTTTGACAAAAAGAAAACTACGAAAATCCGTTTTTAAATTATTGCGAAAAATCCAAGAAGAAACGTTTTATCAAAGGACGTTTCTTCTTGGATTTTTCGCAATAATTTTAAAAACGGATTTTCGTAGTTTTTTTTTTTCCCTGAAAATAACTAATCCATGAATTAATTTACTTGCGCCAAAAAATATTTTCTTTTCCTTTAGAGTTTAACCACTTGCGCTAAGACTAAACTTCACGGTTGCGGTGCCGTGCGCTACAATATAACAAGCGGTAAAGTGTCTCATTTACGCCGCTCCGCATCTGCGAGTGCAATCCAGAGCTGTAACTCGAGAAATAAACAATCTCGTTGTTAGGCGACGTGTGCACCACGTTATTTTCATTTTTGCGATAAATGCTTATCGACGTGGTGTTCACGTCGCTCGCGGTTTGAGACAAAAGCATCTTGACGTGCGTGGCACGTCTTTTTAGCGCAAGTGGTTAAAGAAATTTTAAACGATATTCATTTTATGAACTCTTGATAACGTGACCTTCGAACTTCGACACCGGTTTCGAGCTTTGGCGACAGATATATCAGACATGCACAGCTGTTTCCCTCTATGATGGAACGGAGCCACAGCCACGTCTGTTGCAGAGAGGTTTTCCTTCTTTACAATACATATTCTTTGATTCTAACCTCCATGGTACCGTATACTAGGATTAAACCCATTTTGTTTTATACGAGAACAGGTACTTTCTTTAGTTCATGCACTGCACATGCGATTCTCGAGAATACTGGAAACCAAAAGTTGCGGGAAAGTTGCTTTGCCTTTCTAAAAGACAATCAAATTGGAGCTGCGAAAATTGGCTCTATGCCAGCTACCCGAATGACACTCACGTGATACATAATTCGCCAAAAAAGTTACCTCTTCCGACGTCGGCGCAAAAATCGCTTTTTTTGGCGGGATCGTTGTATGAACTTCCCTGACTTTTCCAGATTTTGACAAAAATACTTAAATTCCCTGACTTTTCCCTGAATATTTTGGTCAATTTTCGAATTCCCTGACTTTTCCCGGTTCTCCCGGTTTTCCAGGTAGCGTGGCAACCCTGTAATCAATGTATCAAGGCCCGTCCACACGAGTACGCTCGAAACGTAGCTGACGAACGCGCTTTTACGTTACCAGCGTAAAAGCGTCCAAACGAGTACGCTTGCGAAGACTGCGTTTAACCAATAGAATTATTATTTTGCGCAAAAATCACGTGACGCTGTGATATAGCGTCAACAGAGCTGTATCTATTACTTCGCTGTTCTTCTGTATGTTTGCGGCAAGTTGTCCGAATCAGATGATTTTTTTTTTATATAGCTGGAACTTTACTATTATGTGCAATTATTAAGCAGAGGCAAAACCGCAAAAAATGGCAAGAATGGGTCCGAAAGATTTATTTAGAGCGACCTGTTCAAAGAGATTTTTTTTTTTTTTTTCAAATACAATTTTTTTAAACTTGCAGTGAATGACACTTGAATTTAATACAGCTTTTTCACATATTAAATTTTTTTAATTTTTAATTAAAAAAATTATGTTTGTATTTTTATTTATTTATTTATTTATTTTTGTATTTTAAAACTTTTCTTTGTGGACCTAAGTAGGAATTGACTTCATTTTTTGGGGGGGAGGGGGTATATTACTTGTTTTTTAATTCCTTCAGGATGAGTATCGACCTTTTTGACAGACTTGCAGATTCTATATCGTATGAAAATTAGGATTTATAAAATTTGTTTGAAATACAGTATATAAAGAGAATTAAATTACTTAATTCTCTTTATATACACCATCCACCATATAATAAAACCAACTTCATATTTTTTTAACTCGCTCTCCCTCGGTCTTTTGTTTTTCTTTTTATTTATTTTTGAATTTAGAATGAGGTTCAAACTTTGGACAGTTTATGAGAAATTATGTGCATGATAAAATATGCAATTAAGTAAAAATAAAGAGAGAATTTATAGATTATATATGATAAAGAGATGCTGATATATTTTTACATAAAGATTTCTATTTGCACTGCACATTTTTAAAGTAAATTAAAAACGATAATAATAATGAATAAAATAAGAAATGAAAACAATAATAATAGGTAAAATAAGAATATAATGATTCATGATTAAATATAAGAAACACGTTTCAAAATGAGAAAAGCTAACTGAATTATACCGCCTACGGGTGAGGTTCGAACTTGCCACCTTTTCATTCCTCCGGCACTAGAGCAGCGCGCTGACCACTCAGCTATCCGTGATGGCAGTGTTTGTGAAAAATAATGTAACAAGTAGAAGTCGCTGCAAAGGTAATTTAATTAAACTTCAATAAATGATTGCTGTATGAGACAAGTTGTAACTTTCCTCCAAAATTTCGTAATTGTATTTTATTGAATACTCTTTCACAGTCAACTGCTTTATTTTAGAAGTTATTATATTGCTGAAGTTAGTTTTTGGTGTATTTAATATTGAGATATTTATAGAGCTTTTTATTACACATGATATAGCCAATATTTATAATAATTAAGGAGAATTTTGTAAGGCAGAAACTTTGATTTCGTAGAAACTGTAATTTATTTAGGTTCCTATTACTTACGGTGTTATAAATAGGTGAAGCATATGGATATACTGGTCGGATCATTGCTTTATAAGTATACAGTTTTCCCCTTTAATGAAAATTTTAAATGTATACTAATATGTACGGTTTGAGAAATCTGAAGATGGTGTGAACAATGCTGATTGTTTTATTGCTGTATACAGTATATTTCTAAGCAAAAACTCATCTCTGTGTGGCTCTGACGCCATATTGAAACGGGTAAGCAAGAAGGTTTTCTGATTATGACACGTGATCAGAACTCGGTCGGCTATTGGCTATACGCGCGCGTCGCGGGCGAAAAAGCTGAACAGAAGCGTACTCAGTTTTACGTCTTCTGCGTCCTGCGAATTTACGCCGGCGTCAAAAAAGTTACGTCAACTACGTCGGGAGCGTCCTCGTGTGGACGGGCCTTCAGTGTCTTGTAACTGCTGAAATACTATATGCAACACGTGTAATTCTCCTAAATCTCATAAAATTTTTTTTTACATATTCAGATAAATAGTTACACTGTTACATTTAATATATAATAGGATTATTTTATTATTATATGGAAAATTAAAATAAAATTCACTATTTCTCCCTCAATATATGATACTGCAGGAAATTGTTTATTTTTTATGCCAAATAAATTCTCAATTTTATACACTAACTTTTTTCACTAACTATTTGAATTTTAATATATTAATACATCAGATATAATAAGAGTCTTTATTACATGCTTTACTAATAACTGATAATTAAATACTGGCATAAAAGATTAACTGCCCATTACAGCCATACGTATCAATAATACATGTTTATATACTTACTGATATTTCATTCGATGCTGCTGGCTCACATCATTAAACCACTTAATACAATGCCTGATACTTTGTTGCGTATGAGCACCATCTAAATAAAACGTCAGCTTATTTTTTTCCACTGTTTGAAACCTGCCAGGCCACACACAGGATTTCAAGCCTAAGGATATAATATGATAATAAAGAAACAGCAATACTATAAAAGTGCTGCATGCACATACAAATTTATAAAAAGTTCAGCCTTGTTATACAGGAAACCTTGGCCTAGCTCAAATCTGAAGAACACTATTTTGCATACATGCATTGTCTTAATTTTTTCGATTTAATTTTTACAATGCTAGAATTTCACTCATAGATGGTTCAATGACCATTCAAGAACAATGAATTTTTGCTGGCAACAGCTCTGGTTAGAAGCTATCAATAAATTTAAAAGATTTCCATCGAGTGACAATTAAGCCAAAGGAAAAATACAAATTGCAAAAGGGGCAAAGGATTTTCAGATACTGAAGAAACCAAAGAGTTAATTGAGAAATGAAGAGTGAAGAATTGAATGAACTTATAATACCAGCTGACAATGAAAACGGTGATAATGAATTGTTAAAGAAAGGCACAAGAATAGCTGATTTTACAGTGGAGATTGACTCAAATGAAGGAAAAAGAAGATACTTTATGAGAGGTATTGAAAAACTCAGTATTGCAAAACTTTTAAAGAGTTGCATCAGTTATTTCCCCAAGCCAAAAATCACTAACTTTATCATAAAATAATTGTACCATATCGCACACATAATGCATTCATGATATGACCCTCACATTCAGCAAGGGTTTAATGTGCATACTTTTTTCTAATACAGTACAAAGTCCGAAATCCGGACGTCCATTATGCGGAATGATCTAAAATCCGGACATCGAAGCCACAAACTTTTCTTTTTTTTTTTAATTATTGCTTCACGCATGCGCATTTGATTTTTCCTTCCATAATAAAACATGTGGAGATTTTCACTTAAAAATTCCGATTCTTAATTTCACTTAGGCATTAAATAAAATACCTCGTTATGGAAAAACAAAACATGTAAGCATAAATTTGTGAGATTAATAATTTGGCTCCGTAGCTGAGTATCTACTTGGCATACATCTCAAACCAAAACATTCACTTATTTTACATCCTGACGCCAACCTGGCGAGTCATTATTTATTATATTTTGCTTTCATCACTGCATGTTTATCAATGCATGACAGCTTCAGTAATAACTCATGCTGTGATGTCTAAACTTTTTTATATAAGTGATTGAATAACAAGAGTATGGCAACCTTTTATGCTAACATTACGCTTGGCGATGATTTCAGATTTTTAAATGCTACAAGGAAAAATTCGACAAAAATTTCTTTTCATATGCTAAAAATAAATTTTGTTAATGAAACTCATAGGCCAAAAGATTACATTTAGTGTTAATTTAATTAAGAATAACTGATATGTTATTCACCATAAACCCAGAAGCGGCGGCAGAGTTTGTCGGCATTGGATGGCAGAATTTAGAGAAGGTGAAATTTGGGGAAGCACTGGGATCCAAAGTTTAGGCATGGTGAAAATTTAGAACTTAGGAAAGCGCCTTGTAGCAGAATTTAGGACCCGTAGAGACTGCACCAGGCAGTATCGAGCGCCGGGCCTAGATAAAGATTTAAGTATGTGTGGGAGTTTATTTATTCAGGACTTGGATTAGTTTGAAGCATGCGCAAGAAATAGAAATAAGCATAGTAAATAACTAATGCAATTCAGGCTTAATTCAGTACGCAATAGGAACAAGACAAAATTTAACAAAACAACTTGCCTTTTGTCCCCAATCTTGTGATACACAGCCAATAATGTATAATGGACGCTATTAAGTTAGGCTAAAATTATCTTTACTGATTCTAAGGCATTTCAATTAATGTAGCAGACTGCGCTGCTCCCTGATCTTCTCATTTGATCCTGCTTATTATTTTTCGCAGACTGTTATTATGGCAATTTTATAAAAACTAAGCTTGAACTTTTGATTATGTCGAAAAGAGTTTCCAAATCCGGAGTTGCCAAAGGATCTACAAAGCGAAACCATGTTTCGATGTCCATTAAACAAAAAGTGGAATTGCTGGAAAAAAAATGACATATCTGTCTCAAAATTATGCGAGGAGTATGTTCACTGTATATGACACAAGAAAAAAGAAAAAGGAACTTTTTGAATTTTTTTTGGAAGCACCTTAAGCAACTTGCATTGAAAGAAATGTTTAATAAAGTAAACAAATAAATATTAAGCTTTTTTTTTGTAAATTTTGATACCCTTTAGATCATAATTGTTCTTTATTTCATAAATTACGATTTCATATTTTTAATTGTATAATTTCTGCATGACATCTTACCAGATTTAAATTGGTGATCTATTATTCGGAAAAATCCCAAATCCGGAATCGCCAAGTCACGACCAGTCCGGATTTCGGACTTTGTACTGTACAATTTTCATAAAAAACGAAGAACATACTTGACAGTACATTTTTGAATACACAATAGTTAAATAATTATTAATTAAAAATGAGCATTACTATATAGCATTGACACAGAGCTGTGTTGCAATCACTTTTATCAGATAACTAGCTTATTATCAGAATAATGTATATCAAAAAGTAATCAGCTAATTTTCTAGAGCATTAAGTAGTCAATTACGTACCAAATACAGTTTTAAATTTTAATTATAAAAGAAAGAAACCGACTTTAGAAATTGCAAATGATAGTCTTGTTTGCTTTTTAACCAGAAAATTATTTGTTTAAAATTTTACTTGTTCTCCCCCTTCTTTTTTTTTTTTTTTTTTTTTCCATCACGTAAAATTTTAAATTAACTTTTCCAGTGGGGGGGGGGCACAGAAACTGAAAGGTATTTTAATCATTTTTATGAAAAGAACATAAAGAACATGCTACCTTATGGGGCAAAGGAACTTATTAAGAATGCAATAACTAATTAACAAATGCATAAATCAAAAGGCTAATTATTTTTTTATTTTAATAAAGAAGAAAAGATTCAGTTTATTTAAGACAGAACTATTACAATTCTCATCTTCTGTAGAAAAGTTGATTTTACATAGGAATAAATTTAGAGTCAACATGTGAAGGAGGAAACTTAGTCATTATTAACAGGTTAAATTAGGTATTTGATCAACACACGAGGGCTATCTACTTAAGGGAAGGAATATCTTCATGAAGAACTTCTTAAAACAACTGACTTACATTTGCATTACATATGGGTAAAACTTCCATGCAGCTAACCTGTTTACTGGGATATAAACCCAGGTCAAAGTACCAGTGTTTAGCAGTCTTACCACTCAATAGCAGACAGGCTAAATTCTTGTTTAATTTTAATGACAAGCAAAACTAAAATTCTAATGTACTCTTAATGATAAAATTAATTCAATTATAAGAATTTTATGCTTACCTTCTTGGAATTTTGCATCTAGTTTAAAAGGCATAGCAATAGGCAATGGGAGATATGATAAATCTTCATCTTCTGAAATATTATCACATCTGTCATTTAAAATTTCTACTGATGTTGAGTCTAAAATAATGAAATAATTTACTTTCAAAACTTGAGTTACTTACACCTAGAAAATTAAATCTTATCTAAATTGATGCGAGTTTAGATAAATTTCTAAGATATGCAGTCTACTCACAAAGGATTTCTCACAAACTTCCAGCAGAAATTTAGCATTTCATTGGAATAATTTAAATATGGAAAATTGACTCTATATACTTGCATATTTAAAAATTTGGTAATTTATGAAAGGAAAATCCTAGAACATTACATTACTATCCCTGATTTAAAATAAATTACTGGAAAAATATACTAGACTTCCTATTAACCAGGCTCCATTTAAAAAAAAAAAGGTTGTTTATTGAAAAATGATGAAAAAATTACTGTCACAAATCATAAGCGTAAAAACTGTTTATGAAAATACTAAAATGAGGGGGGAGATCCGTGGAATAATAGCAGTAATATTAAACAGCATTATGATATTTGGGAGCTGCCCGTTCTTGACCCAGATTATATAAACATTGTTTAATCATCTGTTAAATTTACTCAGTTGCCAAAATAAATCAAGTGTACATCTTGAAATTCATATTGTCTCCTAATACGATAAAAAAGTCGTGTAAACAAAAACAAACAGCAGATGCACTATAATTAAGACACAATAACACGCCGAACAAAAAGCCGAATGAAAGTCCTCCATGAAGGCATCCCTCCTCTTAGGCAGATAGCCCTAGTGTGCTTTGCTATACTAAATACACCACACCACCACCATTACCTAAATATGTTTACAGGCCCGCACCAAGCCTAATCGGCGGCGGCGTGCAAATGTCTAGTGAGTGCCTTTATGTAGTGATGATATTAAAGGGGCATTGCTTATGGTTAATATTTAAAATAAAGCATTATTAACATAATAATATGAAAAAACTAAAAAACTTACATTTTATCTTCTGTTTAAATTTTCAAACATTTTGTGCTTTGTTAAAACCACACTCAAACATATTTATTGAAAGATTATGCATACAATTATGTTATAAAAAGCCATCCAACAGGTATATCGGTTAGCGTTGCTGACTGCCATGCCGAAGGGCTTGGGTTCGAATCCCAGAAAAGACATGAATGTTTATGAACGTACAGTGTCCGTGCAGCATGGGGTCCTCTCGAAAGGTTGGTGTTAGGGAAAGAGGTGTGGTAGACGCTTGGATCCATTCCCCCCCAGGGTGTTCTTCATCAAACCTGAGACCTGAACTGAAGCAAAATCGCACTGTCACCTGTAAGGCGTATGACAGGCGTATCTTTCACTCCTTGCCACGAGGAAATTCGTGGGCTTGCTGACTATAGGTGAAACAAGTGAACATTAGTCAACAACAACAATATGTCGTAAGCAAGTAACACTTCAAGAGAAGCAAAATAATATACTAAATGTTTTGGATAAATTGCTGTTCACAGTGTAGCTTACAACAAGGTTCAAATTCTGGTTACAACACGGCACAAAAAAAAAATGCTCTCGGGCTGATATCTAGAGATATATTCAAAATTCTTTTCTGCACATTGCTATGTTGTTGACAACGATATAGCTTAGCGTTTCAACCAGCGATACTATATTTCCCCCAAAAGTTTGCAAACACTGCAATTCAGGCATAAGATCCATACCAGCGGTTCTCAACCTTTTCACGAACGCGTACCACCTAAACAAAAACTGAAAACCTTTAGTAATACCACTACAAAGTACTACTATAACCACCACTCTTGAACAAAGCTCAGATCGCATACATTTACGAGTGTTAGAGAAAAATCTCAGTCAGTATGTTGGGGTTTTAATTTTTGAATTTAAAAGTTAAAAATACGTTGCTTCTTTTGCGTACCACCTCTTGCATACCAGCGGTTGAGAACCCCTGATCTATACTATTTTATATCGCTTTGATTTTTTATCAGTTAATGACTTTTGAAGTTTTTGACATACGTTAAGCTGATCTTGTAAATATATGTATACGAAAATATGTGATGTTGATGCGTATGTAAGGGTACAAGGGGCGCCGTAGATGCGTTCCACAAATTGCCAAACAAAACTTAGCCTTCCATGGTTCCAGTAATAAATTATTTGAAAGAAATAACAATTTTTCAAAATGTATAGAAATGACCACAAAATTTGACCCTATCATGTCTGTATATATTAATAAAATTCAAACTAAAACAAAATATGCTTCATTACCTTGGGGATAAAATTCAAAATAAAACAATTAGCTTATTAGGGGATAATATAAAGCAAATTATTATAAATAAGGTCAAACATGCAAAGCATTTTCTGTTTTACTTGATTGTTCCCCTGATGCGAGCCATCAAAAGCAGATATCAATTTGTATGAGGTATTTTAATTTATAAACTACAGACATGAGTATTGAAGAAAGGTTTTTTTTTTCCTTATTTTGCGTCTACGTTTGGAATCGCAGTAATTTGTGCAACATTTATCTTTTTCGTAAATTTTTTTGGTGATTTTTTGTTGTTATTATTATTCTACACAAAAAAAGGTAATTCAGTTACCTATTATGTTAACCTTAGGTTAGCTTTTTAATTCAGAAAAGAGATGGTTTGAGCATAGTTACTTGAATTTTTTTTTACATGGACAATTTGCTTATTAAACTAAAAATTATTATCTTTCGAGAAGAAAGGATTGACATATTTACGGAGTACAACTGAATTTAAAGTATACCTGTTTGAGATTTGAAGTGAAGTAAATACATACAAGGTATTCTGAAATCAAAAACTGGCCATTCTTTTATTTTTAGCTGTACGGAAAACCGAAGGAAAATGTTTCATTATTTCATTATGTCTTAAATATATACTTTAAATTTGATTTATTTACTATAATAAACAAAAGAGTACCACCACCTCCTTGAATTATGTGGTATTTATTGATCTAATAGTTCATATATTTTCCAAGCAATGGCTTAAGATATACTCACTTTTTCAGAAGTAAGGTAAAATATTTCAAACAGTGACTTTTCGAGTGTTTTTAGAGCAAATGTTTTAAGCAAGAGTTCTTATAATAGTTATATTCTACTTTTGTTTTTACTTCCACTTTTCTGTTTTCATTTTTTCCCCAGATGTCGAAAGAAAAACAGAAAAAGTTATCTGAGTATTAGAATGTAATGAAGGAAAAGAAAGTGAAAAGAAAACTTAATAAATCAGAACTTTAAAATTACTCAGATTTTTCCAAAATCGAAAGACTACTCAAGCTAATGCTACTAGCACTAGTTGTCTATCAACATTTCAGCTACCATTGAAGTTACCAAAAGAACCTAATAATCGAAAAGAAAGTGTTTTCATCTGAGAATTATCTTTAACTTCAATTCAGCCGGTCGAAAAAATTAGAAGAAATACCATTGAAATCTACAATTTCTGCAGTAGGTATGCATTTGCCTGTGTCTGATGATTCCAGATTATGTTTAAGTCCATTACTGCCATTCTAAGTTCAAGCCTTAAAAAAAAATGCTCCTGGATAATACCAAAACCTCGTTTCGAGTTTCAGTTTCCCAAAAGACAAAAATGGACGTACATTTTTTTATGTACTTTTGCCGAATCTTGCCAAACAACGAGAGAGTTAATCTGACTTCTTAGAAAGATTACGAAAGAATAGACCTGTTAATTCGGAATTCCAAAATTTATTTAAAAAAGAGACTAAGCATTGGCACTATGTTATTGAAAGAATTATGTATGCCATTCCAGTTTTTAGCCAAACAAAACTTAGCCTTCCATGGTTCCAGTAATAAATTATTCGAAAGAAATAACAATTTTTCAAAATGTATAGAAATGACCACAAAATTTGACCCTATCATGTCTGTATATATTAATAAAATTCAAACTAAAAAAAAATATGCTTCATTACCTTGTGCATAAAATTCAAAATAAAACAATTAGCTTATTAGGGGATAATATAAAGCAAATTATTATAAATAAGGTCAAACATGCAAAGCATTTTTCTGTTTTACTTGATTTTTCCCCTGATGCGAGCCATCAAAAGCAGATATCAATTTGTATGAGGTATTTTAATTTATAAACTACAGACATGAGTATTGAAGAAAGGTTTTTAGTATTATGTATTACAACAGATAGGACCGGTGGACAAACAACATTCTTATTAATGACTTTAGAGAAAAATGGTTTAGATATTAGTAATTTACACGGCCAAAATTACGAGGATGGTTGAAACATGACAGGTAAACAGTTTTCGAGTAATTATGTTCAAATCGCTGCTTTTCTAAATTAAAAAGTTAACCTAAGTTTAACATACTATGTAATTGCACTTACCTTTTTTTATGTACAAAAACAATAACAACAAGCAATCACAAAAAGATAAATGTTGCACAAATTACTACGATTGCAACAGTAGACACAAAATAAGGATTAAGTAATTTGTCGAACGTGTTTACCCTTACATATGCATCATCAAGTACTTTCACGTTCAAAATAAGACAGAAGAGAACACCATAGATGAACTCTTGCCCTGGTTATAACTTTCTGTCAAAATAAGACATTATGGTAGAAGGAAAGGGCATTCAGACCTAGAAATCATGAGGTTGCCTTAACACAGTTAAACCCCCAACCCCTAGAGACTGCTAATCTTTGAGCCTTACTCTATACTTTGAGCCAACGAGCTAAGACTGAGTCGACAGGAATACTCAGAAACTTACATTCCCCATCCCCGTTCTGTAGGGATGGTAAAAACATATATCAACAGGGGCCCAAATCCTGGACAGCAGAACAAAGTCATTTAAACACTGTCAGATAGACCGGATCACCAATCCGGCCTGCTAACACTACGTCATGGTAGATGTTGGCATAGGCGCCCCCAAGCGGAAAATAAGGAAGGATATGAATATGCAGTTTTAAGGCTCCAGGCGCCCACTGGAAACCTCAAGCAGTTTAAAGGCTCGCTGAATTCGCCAATGCCATCGACGGGAGTGTTCCACTCCTGGACAACCATGAATATCTCACTATATAGCTCCACCACAACCAACGAAATAAACAAGACAGTACCATACGCTCCCTAACTAGCTTGAAACAGCCATCGCCTGTGATGACTGTTTCAAGCTAGTTAGTGACCTGTGTTACCCGTGGAGACTGATTTTAAACACCCATGACCAAGACTGCCTAGGTACAGATCCTAATCAATAGCTTCTCAGGTTTCACTCGAGTCGAGCCGCAGAGGGACGTTTAAATAAGACAAGAATTTTCCTGTTCAGGCAGGCAGCGAGACAAACCGGTTTAACCAATTTCTTTTTTAATGATTGCCTGGCGCTGTCGTGCACTGCACGGCCTTGCACCTATTGTCGGCGTGGGCCTGTATGGTTAAATATACTGCATTTAAACAACAAAAAATCAGGAGCTGGTCAAAAAATAACACAATTATTAAAACATATACATACTTAAAGGACACGATTAAAATTTAAAATAATAGGAAGGAGAAGAACTTACAAGCTTTGGCATTGTAATTTAACCATGCTTTTGACAACTGAAGAGCTAATGAAGCATTCACACTCTGGATGGCACCAGCAACACCTAAACAAACAGACTGTTCATAGGCTTCGATTGGAGGGCATAAAACAAGTGGACACTAAAAATATAAGACATCAGATTAAAAAATAAAATTCATCAAATATTATAGCACGCATATGTTTTGCATATTAAAGACAATTTTGAAATGTTTTTTGTGCTAATACTTTCTCTTTAATTCTATAAACAGACATAATTTCTTGTTCAGTTACAAAATTCCACTGTTCAAGTCCTGTAATTGCTGTGTCAAGAACACCGACTAACTTGTCAATCGAAATTTTTTCGTTTTCAATAATGTTCTCAGTTACTTTCTTCACTATCGGAAATGCGCATGGATAAACACTTTACTGGCTTTACGCGTGCGCGTAAAGCCAGTAGCGGACGCGCGCATCAAACGTGCATGCGTAAGTTTGTGACCTTAAGGTCCAGATTATATATCATTTCGGATAATGGATGTCCGGATTACGGACTTTGTACCGTAATAATGTAATTTCATATAATAAGTCCAAAATTTAAAAATCAGGGCCTGTTATGTCTCATTGCCATACTTAAATACAACCTTTGTCCAGAAAGTTTGGTGAACGTGTCCATGATTATAATGGGCTGTTCTCTTACAAAAAGCAGCTGTTACTGTCCTTTGAAGTAATCCTGTTGCTGGTAATGCACATCTGTGAATGGATATACAAGTGTCCTGGAAACTCCTGGTATAGTCGTCTTTAGGGATGACATTCAGCTGGGTTGTAACATTATGCTGGATGTCCGAAAACCTCCGACCCTTCAAGGCTGATTTCAGTTTGAGGAACAAGAAAAAGTGCAGGGACGTCTGGGGAACAGAGTAGGTGATTCAGGGACACAACTTCCCTGTTGGCCAGGAAGTGCTGCACCACAAAGGTATTGTGTGGACGGGCATTGTCGCAGAGCAGGGTACAATTGCTTTTTTGGTGTACTGGAGGCGTACCTACTTGATCCATTGCAGCAGACATTTCAGTATTTCCACATTTGTAGTGGCATTTAACATAGTGCCCTCAGGGAGGAATTCTTTATGGATGAGACCCTTGAAAGTTAAAGAACACCATGAGTATTGCCTTAATGGAGGATTTCTCATTTTGCATCTTCTTGCTTTTGGCGACCCTGGACCCTGCCACTCCCTGCTCTGATGCTTGCCTTTGGGGTCATACCTCATGCACTAGGTCTGATCACCCATGACAATGGTTTTCAGGTTTCGATCTGTCATGTCGATAAGGCCTCCACAGGCTAAAGCCAAAGTTGCATTTGTTCCGGCATCAAAGTGTGAGGCACGAGTTGGGAGCAAAGCTTGCGGTTAGCCAAATTTTCAGTCACTAAGAAGTGGGCCATCTCAAGACCGATTCCCACTTTTTCTGCTATCATTCACATTGTTACATGATGATCCTTGGTCAAAAATTCCTTCTTTTCTGTATGTTGTTCGGGGTTCATACAGTTGCAGGTTGACCACTTCAGAAAGAGTCTTCAATGGTGTACTGCCCTTCTTGGAAGCGTTTAAACCATTCACAGACAGCATGTTCTTTATAAACTGTTATCAGCATTTCATGGGTAACTTTTGCTATTTTTCCAAGTTGCAACAGCATCGTTCATTGATTCATTTTGAATTTCGACTGTACACACAATATCTTCAATCTACAATGAGCTATTCCCACATGATATACACACTGATATACAGACTGCCTGCGCTACTGCTTGAGAATGGGTCCAAACATTTCTGACTTGTTCAGCGCACTGGTTGCCCATCAACCCCAAGATGTAACTCACCAAACTTTCTGGCACTCACCGAACTTTCTGGCAGATCAAATATGATACAGTGAGCCACCAGTGACACTTCAATCTCATACCATATTTGATGCAGTGGGCCCATAGAAGGAAATTCAAGTGTATCATATATGATATGGTAGGAATGAAGAGGTTAAGCATAAGCAAGAAACAGACTTAATAAATAATAAAACTAATATAATTGACTTAATTTACTCAGTGCAATAGGAGCAAGACAACTTTTAGTGGATCAACATGTCTTTAGTCACTAATCTCATGATACACCACCAGTAGTACATAGCACACATTCACTAAGCTTTATGTAACTACTCACTATGCTTTATGCACACACTCACTAAGCTTCACTTCATGAAGAGAGCATAAATTTGAAGATTTTCGGATATTACACACTGCCTGCGCTACTAAGTAAAATTTTTAAATTAATGGAATTTGTGAAGAAATGTAGAGGAGTGATAATAAATGAAAATTATATTAAGATTATATAACAGATGTATTCAAGTGTGAATCCAATGCCTCGGTGTGAATCAATGTCAGATCAATCAACTGACAGATGGCAAAATCTGCAGCATGGCTCCAAATCCAGAAAATTTCATTACCTATAGTGAAGAAAGTGACAGACAGATTTTTGAAAAGATTTTGATAGACAGCTTAGGAAGAATTCTTTACAAGGTGATTATAGAACTTTGAACAAAAAATTCTATCAGTCTATAAAATTAAACAGAAAATATCAGCACAAAAAGCAACAAGGAAAGGAACATAAGAGATGCAGCCTTAACAAGGAGTTTATGAAAGTTTTGGCATTCCAGTATAGTTTGTATCACTATGTTTCTGGCACTCTTTATCTAGTTCTGGGCATATAAGAAGATGTTCTGATGCCTGAATTACAAATTTAGCATATACTAGATGGAAGGATGCCTATTTTATTAAGATGATGTGCCATGCAATCATGGCCTGTTTGCAGTCTGAAGTTTGCCACAGCCTCTTTACGGGGTTTTTAACAAAACTTTTCAGCACTTGAAGTCCTTTAGACCTGGTTCAAAGAGAAAAATATGATTATAAATAAAAACAAAACAGTTTACCAGTTCTTCTCTCTGAGACACATGAATACAGACTTTGAATTAAAAATAGAGAACGCTACTCTTCAAAAAAGCACTAGTACCACATATCTAGGTGTAGTGCTGGATAACAAATTAAACTTTACTAATCATGTAAATAGTGTTATAGAAAAACAGATCCTCAGTTTTGAAAAGACTAGCTGTTACCAAATGGGGAAGCTCACAGGCTACCCCAAATAAAACTTACTACAATTATTTTGATGTAGGTATGTAAATATGCATATAGCAAATACATAATTTATATATTTTAGCTTCATAATTTTAATGTATTTATTTTTGTTTCTTGCTACTTAAAAAAGTTACGGTGGGTTATTTAATAGAAAAAAAATTTTTTTAAATGTCTGCTTTCATTATTTTGGATAACTGTGGTCGTTCTAAACTCAGAATTTTTCAAAAATTTCCATGACTTCTGAAGTTTTGCAGTACATTTTCCTCTTTTCAACGAAAACCAATAATAATGTGGGTGTTAAAATTGCCATTCATTAAAAGAAAAAATATTTCAATTATTTAAGTAAAAAGTGATGTAAAACATGGTTAACATTCTGTGATACAGCCATCTAATTAGAAACTCATTCATTTCATTGAAATAATGCTACAAAGCATACAAAATATGCATCTCTGTAAATGGCATACATAAAAATTTTATACTAAAAAAACATACCCCGGTTGCTCGAGATTGCTCCCGAAGCACTCTCATAGCACTCTCTTGTTGTGAAACAGTAAAAGCTGGTACACCTGGTTTGAATATACCAGCCTTCTGTGCCGCAATTTCAGCTAGCGAATCTCCTAAAATACTGACATGATCAATTCCAAGAGTTGTAATACCAACAGCTACTGGATTTCTGAAGATATAAGTAAAATCCATTATATTAAAAAAAATGCTAAAATTAATAGGCAAAGAACTTAAATACATTTTTCATCAATGTAACTTTGACTTACTAGAACAGGCAAATAAAATTATCTCTAAAACACATAATGCAACAACAATGAGTAAATAATAAAAGATTAATTATTGAAATATATTTTTTCTGAATTTTTAAATTAAATCTTGAAAGCTATATTTAATAGAGAAAATATTTCAAAATTTCACAGAAATGAGACTTCTGTTACATTATATATATTTATTCCATATCTAGGAAATTCCTTATGTGGTTTTTATTTTAACACCTGTTGGTTGTATACATATACTTCCAATAACAAAAGTGTTTTAAATAATGCAAACATTCATGCTTTGACACTTTTAAATTTTTAAACTAAATTTTATTAAAAAAAATACAAAATTTAACATTTTACATTGTTTCTCAGTCCTCATAGTTAGTTGAAAGTGTATAGAGAGTGTTAAAATAAAACATAAAAGATAAATTTTGTACAACAAGAATTATTAGAAATATATTAAATTAAATTACATATTAAATTTTAAAGTTTGAGATCATATTTAACAATTATATACAAACTCAAGAGCAAAATATTTGCTTTTATGCCCAAATAAAAATGAAATATCAGTTTAGTAAAATGCTTCTGATGTTAATACACTGGTGTTCAAAATTACGAAGATTTTCACATTCAGTGCAATCTCTTGAGAACTGATGGACAGATTTCATGAAATTTAGTAAGGAAATATATTGATATAATATACCACACAACAGTTATGATTCAGATGCATTATTGTCAGTAAGGACCATCATCAAAGGAAGGTCTAAAACATGTTGTAAGATTGAACAAAAAAAGGAGGCTAAAACAAGATACAGTCACTTATAATGGTCATACAGCTCTCACAACAGGACTTCATATTGGAAATGAGGAATCTAAGAACCATTGAGGCAGTCAGTCATACTTTTGTAACAAAGCTGCTTTCAGTTTCTACAGGGTACTTGATGGAGAAAGATGAGTTATAACTGGCTTCTCAATTGTATCTCAGACATGTTCCAAAAGCATTAGATCTGTAGATCCAGCTGGCTAATCCATCCATTTAACATCCTGACTTTCAGAAAATCATCTACCAGATTAACCCTAAGTCCATTGTCGCTTGTAAAAATGAGTTGAGAGTCAAACACAGGGTTCTAAAATCTTGTCCATTTGCAACATCTGCTGTTCACCTCCTGCTTACTTCCATACACAAAATAGTCTGTTCAGCACCATGCAGAAAACATTGACTTGGGATTAATCATTTCAATGAGGAATCATTCATTCTCTTCATAAAAGAATCCCAATTCAGCCTAACCACTTGTTCTTGATATACGTTCATCTGGACGAAGCAAGTACTTGCTACTTGTCTCCAACATTCAAGAAAGGCACTAATATGACAGTGAAGGTTTGATATGATCTGGGCTGACATTATACTAGACATGTATGTCTTTATGTCTTTAACTATCTTTATGTCTTTAACAGAGGCTCTGTGACTACTGCTAAGTATAGAAAACAAGTCTTACATACCACATACAATCTTCAGAATTTTCGAACTAAAGACTGTACAGAAAGTACCTTAAGTGATGCAGATGAAACTTATACAGCTTGTCATATACCAATACTGGTATGAAGTTCTGCTTTGACTATTAAGTATTTTTTTAATCCCTTGGGTACATTTGACAACTGAGTTTTGTCATGAGCTTACTTTGCTAAGTTATGGATGACGCGTCTAATTTGTCATTCGAACTACGATAAAATTAAACATGTACATTCTTATTCATAGCAAGAGTGATCTGTAACAGTTGTAAAATGTTTTTTCCACTGCTTCAGTGAACTTTGTTTATGGCAGAATGCCCTAAAATGGCATAACTAAGTAATAGACTTAATGAAAGGGATAACGAAAATACCAATGAAAGAGGAGACTTTGAGAGAAATGATGATGATGACTACAGTGAATTACAAGATGAAAATTTTAAAGACAATAGTGAACTGGAAAGTGATTATAATAATAAAATTTTCCAAGATTTCAAAGATGCACCAGACACTTATCGAGCAGTTACAGTGAATGGTCTAGTGAAGAGCTGCCAGGCAAATAGACTTGGAAGAAAAAAGAAAATCTCATAAATGTAAAATGATTTTGTTCAATACCGGGTTAATAGACTGACGGATGAATAAACTTCATATACTGATTCACGAGATCATCAAGTCATTAAAATTTGTTATTCTTGTTTGTTCCAGACTTGCCTATTTCTTCCATTTCCTTTTATAATCAGCCATTTCAGATGCCTTTACAGATACATACTTTTTCTCCCTTTCATACATGTACTTTAGGGATATATTACATTTAAATTCTTTGAAGTTCCATGACATGACAGAGACCAAAATATGCATAGTAAAGATCCAAAGTAATAAAAATTACAAATGTTGCTAATGAAGGATGATAAATAAAATTATTATCAATGCACAATTATTGTACATCCTATATATTGTATTACCTTATTATGTTTGTGCAGTCATAAAGCCCACCAATTCCAACTTCAATTACAGCAGCTTCAACCTATAAAATAAAAGAAATAATTCTGGATTTCACTTCAGCATATATGTAATTAAAATTTTATTCTGACTTTCAAAACTTTGTAATTATTGCACATAGAATACTAAATTCAAAAGTAAAATCTTCCTAATAAAATATTTTTTAATGATTTAATTAATGTTATGAACTTTAATTAAAAAAATAAAAAAAAGTTTATACTCATTTCTAAACTAAAAAAAGAAAAAAAAATGCTTGATTCCTCAAAGAAAAAAAATTACTGAGATATTTAAATTTAAAAAATGAGATCATATTCAGAAATCATACACAAATTAAAGGAAAAATATTTAAAGCTGTGCATGATTAAAAAATTAAAAATCAATTTAGAAAAGTATTTCTAACATTAACAGATTAAATAATGAGTATCGCTAGGCAGATTGTTATGAAACATTTAGATTGATGCAAAGAATTTATGTTCTAGAAAATAGTTGCAGGCTTCAGTATTAGCACACAGCAAGTCATGCCATTATTTGCATAAATTAAAGGCAAAGGATATTTCTAGTCAAATAAATTTTTTGGTATGATAATCAGTTATAATTTTAAAGTAATAGCATATGAATATTATTGACACATTTTAAGCTCTTAAAAACTTACAAACTACTTGTATGGAAATTAATTTGGCATACACCAAAGGTAACAAAATTAAAAAGTAAGAAATGTTACATACTAGTAAATAAAAAAGGAATATAAATGAATGATGTTATTAGGTGGAAACAACCCTGAATAACTGTTATTTGTTTTCAACTGACCTCACAAGAATATCTAAAAAAGATAGCAAAAATCCATATTTTTTAAAGTAAATATCTTTATAAATTTTTGTGAAAAGAAACTCAAACTTTTTATGTCATTTTCTATAACGGTAATAAACTTTTACTCAATGTACATTTATGGCCTGGGAAATCATACAAAAATTAAAGGTGCTTTCTGACTATCCACATCCCCAATTACAACTATTAGTAAAATTATTTTTTTGACATATTTTTTACTATATACTTGAGAATAAATAACCCATTCATGTGTGTACCATATACATATTTCAGTGCATGAAATTTACATGCTTGACATTTAATGGTAATTTCGCTTAACAGTACCACTGACTGTAAAAATATAAATATTTACAATATAGATTTTTCTCACAAAATGCTTTATTACTATGATTATTATTATCACTTATTAACAGAACAGTACCTGTTTAAAGATAGCCAGAAAGATGTTTCTTGTCAATTCACTGAGTCATAAATGACTTCATGGCTTCATGTAATGAGAAAATACCAAAATAGACTTAGCAATTCTATTTAAATTAATGTTTTTAAATTTAAAAATGCCTAAGTATGAATATTTGGATGACTTAAATTTTTTTTTTTTTTTTAATTAGAACATGTCTACAACCATCACTGTGAAAATAAAGGCCCAGGGCCAGATTTACGTATAAGCTACACAAGCTATAGCTTAGGGTTCCCACTTTCTTGGCCCCCAACAAAATTAGGTATAGTATAAATATTATTAAAATATATTTTAACAGACTTATAAAGGGTCCCATACCTTATCAAATCTACATCTGGCTCTGTGAAGTCTCCATAAGGACTTTTATGATACAAAACATTCAAGTGTGTGTGCATGCATGTATATACATATATAAGCACACACACATATATATTTAAATTTGGTTTTTCAACAGTTTATAAATTATTAGGGTATTTTCTGCACCCCCAAAGATGGTCATCAACTCAATGACAACTTAAAAATTAGAGTAATAATTTAAAACTTGTAAATTAGAGAAAGTATTTGTTGGCTATCTTTACAGCTCAATGATTCATAAATAACAACAAAATGAAGCATTTTATAACAATCAAGAAAATTTATGAAAAAAACACAACAACTTTTTTGATTTCATAGCTGGTGGATACTGCTCAGTAAAATGATGGTTAAATAAAAGTGTAAACTAAGGATATAACTTAAAAGCATGTGGGTTGGCTATTATTGTATATATACTCAAAAATACACTATCAACATAATATTTGTACTGAATATTATTGCAACTGCTAATTCAGATAATCAGAAAAAACCACTAACAGCTTTTACATCAACTACAGCAAATCTCATTTTCACTCCCTTTATATACTCATAAAAGCAAAAAAGAGAAGAAATAAATTAATCCCTTCATGTATATCGTCCTAAATGTAAAACAGTTCATTATACAATTATATAGTTCTAAGTTTAAGACAATAACAGATGATGGTGTCATTACTTGAACAAATGCTCTGATCATGCACAGACAAGCAGTGGCGTAACTAGAACTCATGGACCCCTATGCAAAAAATTTTCCTGGACACCTTTCCTAATAAATTTAATGTGGTTAAAAATAAATTTAAAAAAAAAAAAAAAAAAAAAAAAAAATCTGAAATGTTTCAGATTTTAAATTACGTCCAAAGGGGCGTTTTTTAACATTTTGTGTGTTACCTTTCTTTATTAAATATCATGTTCCTCGCACTTAAACCATAAGATCCAGTGCAACAGCAATATCGCAAAATAGTTTTAAAACGAGCATATCTTTAGAATTTCCGATACAGAGACTCACGCGCTGGAGATAAAAATGTTTTTTTGCACAACGTTGCCATTGCTCGCTTTGAAATCCTTGAGTTTGTTAAATCAAAAATTCGTCAAAGTTTTAAAAAATAGGAAATCGATCATAAAACAAAATTTCAAATTTGGTCTTCCACATGCTCATATTCGTTGGAGGATTACGTTATTCAAAATTCGATGACTCTATGTACCGTTATTTTATGACAATGTGAGAAATATACATACATTTACGCAAATTTTCATTATTTAATTTCTTCAAATATAATGCAGGACTCTAACATTTTATGGCAACAGTTTGAAAAGTGAAACCGACATTTATCCATCCGACGCAAAATGCCAAAACGAAACTAATAGTCCTTCGGGATTCAAATCCCTTTGGACTAATAAAAAAATAATTAAATAAATAAAAAGTTTAAAAAAACAAAAAATCAAGGATTCCAGGAGGCAATGTTTTCATGATGATTTTTATCACATCTGGATTAATTGTTAAAAAATAAAAGCACGTTCTTAGGGAACCAGTTGAAAGGTACGCAACATGAAGAAAGAATAAAAAGGAAAATAATTTCCCTTGACCAACTGGTGAAATGAAAATGTGCTTTAGTCTGGGTATTTGACGTCAGATGATTTTAATTCAATTACTTAAGACTTTTTGTGTGAGTGCAAGTGTCAGATTTTTCTCTCCTTTCACTGAGATGCATACTGATAATAAATGAATAAGTCTATAAAAAAAGGAACATGTCGACGTATAGCATTAAGAAAAGAAAGAAAGCCTAGATTTGCGGAGATTTTTATATAAAATCCAGGAAGTTTTACATACTAATGTTTTAAATTCTCATATAAAATCTGCACCTAAGTTTTTTTCGCTTAAGTTAGCAAAATTATAAATAATTAGTTATATTATAAACTGACAGAAAAGATAATTGATAAACGTACAGAAAAGCTATTACATTAATGTAGTATAGTACTCTGTGATTTACTCAGCTTACGAACATTATTTATGCAATAATATACAAGTAATAAATAAGAACTTTTATAACGTAAATGATACATTTGTTAAATATAAAACATATTTATCATAAACTTCATAAAGAAAACTATTTGAACATACAATTTTTGTAGAAAATATGTATGGTAAAGTTTTTTTCTGTCTTTCTAAAAAACCTTTTGGTACACTAAACTACTTGAATACAAGATTTTTATAAAAAATATGAATACTAAAGTTTTTTACTGTTTCCTTTTAATTTTCCTCAGTCCGTACTGCTCTTCTTCTCTAATTTTTTCCTCCGTTAATAAGTGTAATGATAACATTGGTGACCAAAATTCATCATAAAGAAAAAAAAACCCTTCTTTTAAAATTTGCGTCTCCTAACCTTCATTTCCGCAAAATTATTTATCAATACTTGGACGTCCATTTTCTCAGCCATCTCAGCTTTAACACTCAATAGTGAAAGGTTTGACAACCAATCTTGTGTCATACTGTTTCTTAAATATGTTTTTATTAGTTTTAGTATTGAAAATGACCTCTCACTCGTGGCTGTGGTTACAGATAATAATAAATACAATATAAGTGAATTGCACACTCCCGAATAACTGCTTGTCATGTCATAATATTTTACCATTGCTAATTTAGCTAAATCCTTACCAGATTTCAAATTTTGGATTTCTCTTCTGAAAGTATTTATAAATAATAAAAGTTGTACTTCCAGTGCAAGTCTTCTTTATATGTTTTCTGTATTTTTAAAACATTATTAATAATTTCCATATTTGTTAACAATGACAGTGTTTTAGGTTCTTTATTTCTCTTTTATTTTCCAAATTCAGTTTCTATGCCCCATTTATTTGCAATAAACTCAGCTTCTTTCATAATGTCTTCAAACTTGTTTATCATATTTTTCACATTAATAGCAACGCTTTTTAGATGTTGATGAGCTCCATTCAAGTCGATTGATTTTTCGATTGTCAAGCCGATTGATGGGTTGATCGATCCTGCACTATAGCGCAGGACGTGTTTAAAAATTTTTATTTTTAATTTTGGCCTGTTATGATGTTTCTTAATGTATGGAAACATAGATTATATTTATATTTCATATATATCATAAAAATATTTCATGTTAATATAACAATATGCTATTAATATTAGTAGACATTTGCATTGTTAATGGTGATAATTTTGGATTTCTCAGATAAATGGATTAAAAGCTTAGCTGAATTAAATTTTTAGCAAGTTTTAAATTATAAAAATTTAGTTTATGATTAATTTAGATATTACAAATCAATAACTTACCTTTATAATGATGAATTATATTTGAGATCACTTTGAAATTTAATTTTAAAGAAAAACTTCTGTTTGTTCTCGCCATAGACTAGAGAAATGGCATTAGAAT